AGAAAATTGCAGTTATAAACGAAGAAAAGAGGTGACGGACACATCAGCTTTGACATGTAAGTGAATCATCAGAGTGTATCAAAAGGGGGCTAACTTTGTTAATCATGGGAGGTGGGTTTCTGAATTGGAGAGCACTTGATTAATTTATATTCACACCTATATTTTTGTTTTGTTTTGTTTTTTATGGAAGTGTGGCTTCCACACAAAAGTTGTCGATAATGAACAAAGGCTGAAGTTCGTTCCACCTTTACGACCGATTTTAAACTTTCCACTCACATTGTATCCTTTTACTTTGAAGCCTGGGGCTGCTTCACCCTACCATGGTTAATAATAAACCTTTCCTCTTTGTTTTTCTAATAATCAAATTTCAAGTGGGGAAACTTGCTTGATTGTTCATTTTTATATTTTTCTTGGACTACGCTGTTGTTCTCGTGGGAAGATTTTTTTGGAGTTCCTATAAATGCATGGCGATTTTTACTTTTCATACTTTATTTTATTTTTATTTTATTAAATAAAATTATTTAATTATCCTTCTCACAAGCTTTCAAATATCTATATCCATAAATTTTATAATTTTTTGGAAATCTATTTCAAAAAAGGAGAGGTTGAAATTTTAAGAAAATTACAAAAAAAAAAAAAGGATTTCATTAAAATTTAATTAATTAGTGCAATAAAAAAGTTATTATTAGACAAAAAATTATAAATTTTAAAATTAATAAAAAAATTAATTTTACTATTTTAATTTTTGAGAAAATATAAAATCTTATAAGATTATAATTAAATATTTCATCTCTTGATATTATGAAGGACGATGAAGAAACTATCAAATTTAATTAACAAAAGAGTTGAAATTTTTCAAAACTTTATAAACAATACAACCGAATACTATATAATTTTGTTAAAATCGAATATGTTAACTAAAAAAATTTATCATGATCAGTAGATGAAGAGATTTTTTCAAAGAGTTTAGTTTAATTAGAGCTATTATAAAATTTTAATAATTAATACTAAGTAAAAATATTTCTTAAAAAATAATAAATATTTATATTTATAAAAAAATTACATTTACTATGTCATCCTTAATTTAATTAGAGTCACATAAGATTTTATTTTTCTCTAAAATCATAAAAGTAAAATTAACTTTTTATTAATTTTAAATTTTATAATTTTTTAATAATAACTTTTTTATTACACTAATTAACAAAAATTTTTAATAAATTTTTTTTTTGTAATTTTCTTAAAATTTCCCTTCCTTTCTTTACAAAAATCGAGAGAAATCTATTTCCAATAAATTATACAACTTTTTAAAAATAAATTTTCAAAAAATCATAAAATTGACTAAATATGAATATTTAGAAACTTATAAAAATAATAATTAAATAATTTCATTTATAAAAAAATTTTAAAAAAATAAAGGTGGTAAGGAGTAAAAATTATAGTGCATTTAGAAGCAATCGCCATTTTTTCATCGATTATAATTTTAAGCCTTTTTCACTTAATGTTTTAATTCAATTAAGCTTTTCACCTTGATTCCTATCCGATGCTGTTTCCTTTTGGTTTGTTTTAATTAATAAAATATTATTATTATTATTATTATTATTATTATTAGTAATATTGTTTTAATTGAGTTTACACTTACGGTGTGTTTAGTTCAAGAAAATCTAAGATTTTTTCTTGAAATTTATATTTGTGAGAATGTGATTTTCACATTTGATTCAAGAATATATGATTCGTAAGGTAATTTTAGATTTTCAAATAGTATCCAAAAATTCTAAAATTAAAAATTTATCTATCCCTATGATTTTTTAAAATAATCAAATATTATATTTTTTAAAGTTAAATGTAATATTTTTTATTATAATATTTTTAAAACATGTAAAAAGATCAATTATTATGTTTTTTTTTTAAGATAAACACAATAATTTATCATTGTAATTTATTTAAAATAATCAACTACTGAATTTTTTTAAATAATTGTTCATTGTAATTTTTTTTAAATATTCAATTATTGCGTTTCTTTAAAACTAAATGCAATAATTGTTCATTACAATTTTTTTGAAACATGTGTATAATCAATTATTGTATGAAATTAACACAATAATTGATGACTAATTATTTTTTCTATAATTAAATACTCGAATACTATATTTTTATAATTTAAAACGCATTATTCGTCGATTATTTTTATTGAGAAATTGTTGTGCTTGTTATGTAATAAAAGATATTATAGTAAACATACATAATTAAGTAATCTGACTTACTTTCTAACTAAACATAAGAATTTAATAATCTAATGCCATTAAAAATCACCCCGAATCCACATTTTCTTTTGAAATTTAAAATTTCATAAACCAAATTCCCTTTTAGAGTTATCAAAATTTGATTGATATATTTGTAAAATATTAAAATTTTAATTTTAATAAAAGATTCAATTCATACAATTTCAATTAAGATTCAATCCATGATTATCTTGATTAAAAAACAACTTAGGAGTTGGGAATGGATTGCAATAATCCACCCACACTTGTTAGAATTGGACATAAGAAAAAAAGAACATGTAATCTATAATGATTGTATAGTAATTAATTAAATATAATTCAACATTATATAAAATCCATAAAATACTATGTAAAATCTATATTTTTAAGTAATAAATTCTTACATAATTTTATAATTATAATAATTGATTAACTATAAAATTATAACGAAAAAAATGAAAATAAAATACTCTCTACAAAAGGCAACTTGGAAGTGGGGAATTGATCGCAATGATTCACCTAAGAGTAGCAAATATGCCCAAATCCATCAAATCTCGACCAACTCTTAAGATTTTATTTTAAATCGAGTTTTAAAGTGGATCAATTTTTTTAAAAAGTTGAGATCGGGTAAAAGTTGAATTTTAAGTAAATTAATCTTGATATGATATATAATATATATATATTTTTTTATTTAATTTTATATTTATATATTATATTAATTAAATTATTATTTAATATTTTAATTTAAGATATTAATTTAATAAAAATATTATATTTACATATATTTATATATAATTAAAATATAATTTATATTAAAATAATATTTTATGAATATTTATTAAGTTAAAATTATTAAATTAATTTTGAATCAAATCACTTGTAATTATATATATATATACATGCAAATCAAATCCGATATAAAAGATCATATTTTAATATCAAATAAATCGAGTATATATTTTATCAAATAAGGACAAACGAAAATCCATCCGAACCCTACTATTCACCTACGACAAGTTCAAGCTTCACCTTATGAAGCGCCTAAGGTCTTCTGATCTCTCGAAAAGTAATGCCGATCACTCTTATTCGACCTCGGTCTTTGTTCGGACCGTTCTAGTACTTTCAACCAGGGTTTGGACATGGCATCTCAATAAATAAATAAATAAATAAAAGAAGCCAAACTTTTGACTTCCAGGGATGTCGATGGAAAGCACCCTTCTCTTCAAAAATGGTTAAAGCAACTACAGCATATTCGGAGGAAAATGACTTTCTCAGGACATGTTTTAACCTTTAAGCATATTGGATAACTTCCAGAAAGTCAATCCTAGGTCATGGTCTCATCTTAGAAAGAGCGTTCATACAATTTTCCTATAATCATGAGCAACTACTTTAACATTTTGGCACACTAAAATGATATATAGAAAATCATGAAACTCTTCTAATTATGAAAATATTATACAAACTACAAGCAGTTAAGGCTAATTCTTAATATATTTCAATTTAGAAACTAAAACACCAAGAAATAATACTCCATCTACATGAAATCGATTGTTGTGACACATTCATTGTTACAGGTTAACCCCGAGCTGAATATCCAAAATTTGAGAACAAGAATTACTGGAGGCCAAACAGTGTAAATAAACTCAAAAACTGACAGATCAATTCACTAAGTATTTTGGGCACTACAAGGCTACTTGCAACCTTAGACAGCCAGTACAGTTATGTCCAACAGAGTCAATTAATGAAGAAAGCTCTAGCGTTGGCTTCTGAATAGACTTATGTTACCAGCAACTGGTTGATAAACAGGAGCCTAAGGCTTAGCAGAAAAGCTAAAAAAGGATTGCCAACATCACCAAGGAGCCTTAAAATAATCACACTGAGCAACTCTGAACCGATTATTGTGAGTCAAACTAGAAAAACAACAATTTGCTTACTTTCACTCTCTTCAGCCATTACTAATTTTTAAGTCTTTGCTACCATATTGTATTTAGAGGATAGTGAATCAAAGAGGCATTGGTGATATGCTATAAGTGAAGCCAAACAAAGCTTCAGATTGGCAATTCAATTAGTTCTCCTATTTTTCCTTTTTAAGAAGGTTAACACCTTTAGCAATGTTGTTTATATGTCCTAAGACTCATTATCATCTTTCAATGCAAACTTGTGTCATTATTCCTCTCAAAAATTCCAACAAATTCAAACTAATTGAGAATAGATTGTAAAATATCTGAATAAATCAATAAAAATATGTCCGAGACAAACAAACAAATGCAAAAGGATATGAAGCAATAACAATCTAATTACCCATTCAAAAAGATCAATTAGAAGCCTTTCTGACATGTACTGGTAGGCAAAGACAAGGCAAGCTACTCAAATGAACACATTTTATTGCATATCTATAGGTCATGTTCGGTGCATAGGACGATAGATAGAATAGGATAATAATCATCCTATATCGTGTTTGAGTTATCTAAAGAAAAGCTAAGATTATAAGAAAGATTAATCATCCTCTTGCAATAGGATTTTTCAATCCTCCCCAAGTGGAGAGGATCATTTTTAATCCATGGGATTAAACTTACATGTACAATTATATCATTAAAAGTTATATCAATAATTTAAGTTGTATAAACTTTAAGGAAGGATAATTTTGACAAATAAATAAATTATCTTATCATAATCCTTGCATACATCAAACACAAAATAAGATAACATTATTTAATCTAATCACATTCGTAATATCATCTTATCTTTTCTTATCTTATTATAATCCTGTACACCAAACATAGCCATAGAGAATTTCAGTTATATAGATATTTAGGCAACTAGGCCTTCAATTTTGTGCCCAACAACTCATATGCATCTTGGAATGCAAGATGTGTATCACAGTCCATGTTAAGTGTAAAAAAAACTATAAAAAAAAAAAAAGTCAACCAATCATACTCTTAAAAGGAAATATTAACAAAATCAGGGACATTCCATTAATTCTAAGACAAAGTATACTATGTGGTTAAGTAAAAAAGGAAAATTTATTGGTTTTGACATACTAAAAGCAAATTCATCATATTCAAACCACATATAACGAATGCCAGCTTGTTTAGCTCAGGCAAGCATTTTACAGGAGTTGTGAAACAGATAAGATTTGGAAAAAGGAAAATATTGAAAATTAGTTTCTCATCAGAACAAATGCTGATTATCTCTATATCCAACGAAACAATATCTTAAGACAAATATAATGCCTTTGATGTTAAAACATTCTCTAATAGATTTCCAAGAAGCTTCATCTAATATAAAGTGAAAAGTTGTCTAACATTAAAATTTGACTAAAAAATGTTGAGTCGAGATGAACCAAAAAGGGCCATTACCTAGTCACGATCTTGCCTAACTAAGGTTCTTCAAGAGATGATACAGATAAAATCCTTCCATTTAGCAATTTTGCATGATGTAACCACTTTAAACATTGAACCTTGCTTTTGTGCTTGTTAGCCAAGATCAAATCCCTTGCAACAAAATGGCCTCTTACTGAGCACTGTTGAACAACAAAAATCGCAAATTTTTAAAAGCCATTAGAGAAAAGAGGCAAAGCTCACATTTAAGCTCTTTCCTGAAGTGTTTAGATAGTAAACCTACCTTACCTATTTTGCAGCTATTCCATTAGTCTTCACTCTTCAGGGGACAATAGTTGGTGACAGATTACCATCAAGTGCTTTTTTTGCAATGAGTTAATCATCTTGCAGTGGCTATAACCATGTAAGGTATTAGATTCAATTTACATTGTCAATTATCCAAGGATAATCATTAGCAGAACTACTATGAAAACAATGCAATGAACTCATTTCATAGATAATAACACAAAATATAAGGGAATATTTTTGCCATAAAAAGGAACACTTTGCTCAATGTGTTAAAAATTTCAAAATATGTCATGACAAACATCTACAACTGTATTCAAAAAAACATTTTCATCCAATCGTCAAATATGTACTTGCAAAATATTTAGAAGTTGGCAAAAACTCTTATTTAGGATGTAGAGGACTCAGATGTTATAGCTCATGATACACATTATTTCTTGTTGCAAGATTCACACTTAGAATGAGGATCCCCGCTTTCATTTTCCAATAATTTAGAAGAAATTATGAGATTTTCTTGAAACTGCCACTCAATGGACACAACTAACAAGATTTAGGGGCAATTACAACTCCAAAATCACAGGAAGAAGACACAAAGATTAGGCACTTACCATCCAATATGTGGATAGTCCCATGACCACAAGACAATTTTTAAACTGCAACCAGAACCTCCAAAAGTCAAAAGTCCATCTTCAACAGCACTTTTCCTCCACTGGTGCAATTATGATAACCAACTACCATGAAGGGCACCAAGCAGAGCTGGGAATATTCAAAGCATCCCAGAAAGATAATCCACTATCTAACACAAGCAAAACAATGCTGTGATGAATAATGACAAAGTAAAATCAGAAAATAAGGCAGGCAACTGAGTACAAATTTCCCTAACAATTGAGACTAATTGCCAGTCAAAAAGAAAGAAAACAACAATAAATTAATAAAGTAAAACATGAAGGCAGAGCTTTCTACTACCTTTTTCAGTTTAGGAGTGATCTTCACACAAGTCACTTGCACCAGCTGAGGCTGGATGAGGGAAACCAGAAAACTGGGGTGTAGAAGTTGGAATCATTAAAGATTCTGGTAGCTGTGGAGATGTAGCCTCACTTTCAAGGTTATAGCCTTCGTAAAGGAACTTGGTTTTTCCATTTGGAGTTTCGTTGCAGTTTGATTTCTTCCTACTGTACATTAACACATATTGAACAAGTTTCCCATTGGACCACATATCCTTAAAGGCAGTAGATTCATCTAGGTAATTATAAGGTTTAGACTCAGGGTTCATGCTATTATCAACCACACTTGAGTTTGACAACAAACTACAACAGTTCTCTTCTTTCTCCTTCATTCCTATTCCAACACCCAAATTTTCCTGGGATTCACCATGCTTTTTCAGCCGTTTATAAACTAACTTAGGTGGTTTCTTTACCTGCTGTGCATAAACCATATCATTTGGCTTTGACAACAAACTACAACAGTTCTCTACTCTCTCCATTCTTATTTCAGCACCAGACTTTTCCTGGGATTCGCTGTGCTTTTTCCGCCGTTTATAAATTAACTTAGGTGGTTTCTTTCCACGCTGTATGTAAAGCATATCATTTGGCTTTAACAACAAACTACAACAGTTCTCCTCTCTCTCCTTCATTCCTATTTCAAAACCAGTCTTTTCCTGGGGTTCACTGAGATTTTTCCGCCGTTTATAAACTAACTTAGGTGGTTTCTTTCCAGGCTGTACATAAACCATATCATTTGGCTTTGACAACACACTACAACAGTTTTCTTCTTTCTCCTTCATTCCTATTTCGGCACCAGACTTTTCCTGGGATTCACTGTGCTTTTTCCGCCGTTTATAAACTAACTTAGGTGGTTTCTTCCCATGCTGTACATAAGCCATATCATTTGGCTTATTTCTACAGGCATAAATTGTCTCGCTTGGTACTATCTCAGTCAGTTTCAAATGACTGAAAGCCCTACTACTATCAATCAAAGGCTCTAGGCCATTTTTTTCACACAAAATTATATTCTTTGAAATCCTAGGGGAACTATTCATTGCCCAATGCAACCGAAATGCCAATTCAGCATCATTACACTCTTCCAATGCATTGCTTGCCAATTCCACTGCCCGCTGGGCCACAACGGCTTTCTTAACGGCCATTTCCCTAGCTTTAACCGCCGCCTCAACCTTCTTCTCCATTGCACAATTCGCATCTTTCACTACATTTTCCAACAACTTAGGCCCCCTAACATCCCTAACATCTAAAACGTTGGAATTCTTAGCTTTCCTGTTGCGCCTCAAACTCCCCCTTTTATGGGAAATCTGTTTGGGGACCCAACAATCGATGCAAACAGTAGATTCCGAACCACACACAGAGTATGACCACGGCGGAACAGATTTGTAATTTAAGAAACAAGTTTTATGAAGGGAACGCTTACATTGACCACAAGAAAAGCATTCGTCCGAGGCTTCTTTGAAACAATAAGAGCAGATTTGGGATGAGTCAACGCGATGATAACATCTTGGGCAGAGAAGAACAATGCGCCACTCGCTGTAAAGCACTTGAATTCGGTTCTTACCGCTGGCGTTGCCGGTTCGGGATCCACAAGCCTGGCATTCGGTTAAGTCGGGGAGGTCCCGGGTCTTTTTGAGCGGATAGGGATCCGAAGACGTTGGAGTTTTGAGCCTGGCGCAATCGGAGAGAAGGGGCTTGTGGGAAGAGGGAGTGCGGTCCGGCATCGTTTTCAGACCGCGTGCCATTGTGGTTCCATTCGGATTGCGGCAGGAGGAAGTTTTAGGGTTCGACACGTAGGTAGGGTTCGTATTCTTGTGAATTTGTGGAGATGATATTATGGGAAATTAGGGTTTCTTTTGGCCAATAGAAATTAGGGTTTTGATGTGGGAAATTTTCAATAAGTTGTTTTACGCTTTTTCTACTGTGCAATATTTAGGTATTATCTATAGTATAAAATAATGTACCAAATCAAATGTGTATTTTCTTTATTTCAAATTATACAATTACACATGCATCTCATGTCATATATGTTTTGTGTCAAAACATGTATAAAGTATTAAATTTATCATATTATAATTCACGTAAATACGTATGATATAAAACATATTTTTTATTTTTATCAAATACATATATGATTTAAATCTATTATTTTTATATCTTTTTATTATTTTTATATCGTATCCAAAAATATCATATTATAAAACATAAAAATTAATTAAAAAATAATAATGCATTATTATATTTATTTTATTTCTACATGATTCTTGTTATAAATAAACTGTTTAAATTTCATTTTCCTTATAATTTACAATTCAAGTATTATCATGAATTCTTTCCTTAACAAATGCTATAATGAATCACCAAAATTATCATATTATAATTCTAAGTCAAATATGAAAATATTTTTTATTTTTATCAATTAAATTATATCATTTTTTTTATCGATTTTCTTTCATATCCAAAATTATCATATTATGAAATAAAAAATAACCCAAAAACTAATACTACGATATTGAACTTATTTCATTTCTACATGATTCAGATCTAGTAATAAATAAAATACTTAAATTTCATTTTCCTTGCAATTTACAATTCAAATATTATCAAGAATCCTTTTTCTAAAAAAAAGTACTATAATGAATCCTAGCTTCAGCAGGCCTTACCAGATACTTGCTGATTGTATCGAATATCAATCCTCGTCATTCTTGAACTAGATCATTCGTTGTCATTGTTGAACTAGATCATTCCATCGCAACATCATGATTCATGCTGACGAGAAGATCCAAATATACTTCAGCATTCAAGGACACCGAAGTGAATCCCTTCTTCAATATTCATGCAACTATGTAGCTGCTCAACCATGATGTTTATCTCTTGAGACCCAGGGTAGGAGCAATCCCCTGCAACAAATCTACAAGCCCTGTTTCCAACATGAACCAAGCTGTAACCAGCTGAGACCTTCAGCCCTCTCTCTTTCACCAACCGCCTCATTCTCATTGCGTTTTCCCATAATCCTTCAGCAGCATACATGCTTGATCCAAGCAAATATCCTGCTGAGTTCTTGGGCTCCAGCTCAAGAACATGAGAGAGAGCTCCTGCACCAAGCTCACTGTTTCCATAGCTTCTACAGGCACTCAAAAAGGCTCCCCAAGCACTTGCACCGACCTTAAGACCATCAGGGATTTGGTTAATCAATTCCATTGCAATGTCAAGCTTTCCTGCCCGACCCAACATGTCAATCACGCATGAATAATGTTCCAACACGGGGACAATCCCATACTCGTTGACCATTGATTTTAAAAAAGTAAACCCTTCGTCAATTAACCCTCCATGACTACATGCAGATAGTGCTGAGAGAGTAGTCACAGAGTTTGGCTTCAGACCCTGCAATTTCATTTCCGGGAGCAGTGCCAATGCCTCTCTAGGAAGACCATTCATACCATATGCTGCTACCATGGCACTCCATGACACTACATTTTTCTGTGGCATTTTATCAAAGACCTTTCTGGAGGTATCAATGGCGCCACATTTTGAATACATATCAACAATTGCAGTTGCAACAGCTACATCGGCTGCCATGTCTCTTCTGATTGCAACTCCATGGGCCCATTTTGACCTTCTCAGTTCAGCTGAAACAGAACATGCTTCAAGAAGGTTTATGATGGTAATGACAGTGGGCTTCTCCTGTGTTTTGCTCATCTCACTGAAGACCCTGACTGCCTCATCAGGCTTGCCACAGTAAGCTAACCCAGCTATCATCGCGCTCCATGACACCACATCCCTTCCCTTCAAGCCATTAAAAAGATTCCATGCAAGATCAACAAGATTGCACTTCAAATAAGCGTCAATTAAAGAATTTATGACTAAGTCATTTGATTCATACTCCTGTCGGATTATTACACAATGAACAGACTTGCACTGGGATGGGTGCACAAAATATTTGCATATTTGAAGAAAATTCACGAGAGTCACCTCATCTACCTCAACTCCTTCCTCCGCCATCGAATTAAACAACCATAAAGCTTCTGAATACCTCTCATTGAGGACAAATCCAGATAAGATAGAATTCCATGAAACATTGTTCTTTCGAGACATCTCCCTGTAAACTTGATAGGCAGAACCAACATCTTTACACTTAGAGTACATATCAATTAAGGAGTTCCCTATAAACAAATCATCATTGTCTCCTCTTCTGATCACTACTCCATGTACCAACTTTCCCATATGAATATCTTTTAATCTTCCACAGGCCTTTAGAACACTTGCTGCAGTTACACCATCCGGTTGGATCCCATCCTCAGACACCATTACACGAAACAACTTCAAGCCAATTTCTGCTTCCTCACTTTTCAGATAACCCTCGATCATCACACTCCAAGAGATCACGTCTTTATTGGACATTTCATCAAAAAGCTTTCGTGCGCTCCCCAAGTCTATGTCCACGTACATACTCAACATGGAGTTTTGAATAGAATCAATGGCACATAATCCACTCTTAATCATGTATCCATGAACTTCTAAACCTTCAGAATAAGCTCCAATACTGCGGCATGCCTGAATTACAAGCACTAATGTGGAGGTATTTGGTTCAAACCTAGCTACCCTAGCCTTATTAAACCACCTTAGACCTTCTTCAACAACACGTTGATTAAGGTGCCCATAAATAATAATATTCCACGAAATAGAATCTCTGTTTTGCATGCAATGAAAAGCACCCAATGCAGATTCCAAGTGCCCACATTTCAAGTAAAAGTCCATAATGGAATTCCCAATGGAAGCAAATGAATCATAACCTTGCTTGATCAAATGTGCATGCATGGGTTTCCCATATCTGGAGGAGAGGTTCAAGCATGCTTTGAGAATGAGAGGGTACACTGAAGGATCTGATGGTTCAACTCCATATCTCTGCATCTCCCGATAGTGAGATAGCACGTCTAGCCATTTCCCAACACGTGATGATTCCTTGATTCTCAAGCTCAAGCTTGGGAGCTCTGAACCCCAGAGGTTTGTCGGAAAGCGCATGGCAAATCGGAATATATAATAGGAATTGAGAAGTTTAACATTGCCTATCTCCGTTAAACTGGCTTGTGAAACAGCTGAACCTTGCAGAAAAGGATTTCCTCAACTCTACTTTTTCCACCGCGTGCAAGCTTAAGGCATGAATTGCAGAATTGGTACTAAACAGAAAGAGAAAAGATCAGATGGGCACTTTCGACTGATGAATTTTGAAGTAAATCCATTGGGACGGGTAACCCAAATTTAATTTCGCACTATTTTTTTAATAAAATGACCTGATTTGTTGTTAACAAAAATTAAAATATTATTTGCAATTAGGTTAAACTTAATAAATTAATAAAAATTGAATATGTTGGTAAATTATTTAATTATAATTAATTATTAAACTTGATAAATTAATAAAAATTAAACAAATTATTTGACCAACATTTTTTCATTTGCTTTTTCATGTTATAAACATCATTTATATTTTCACTTTAATAACATCATTTATATTTCTTTATATTTTCGCTTTATAAACGAACCATATTCCTTTTTATTATATTTGTGATACAAAATTTCTCTTTATTATATTTGTATTTTGTATCATAATTATCTGTTAAACTTAATAAATGAATTATATTAATAAAAACCTGATAGTCAAACTTTCTATTAGTTTACGCTTTACTCCTAAATTCTTTGTAAGTGGAAGGAACTTGAGGCATCAGTGAAAAAAGAAAAAAAAAAGGCATATCTAGCTAATTAAATAAATATTACAAAGGAAAATGATGATATTCCTATCAAAGCAACAGAAATACATAAAAGAAATTTCCCTTTTCTTTTCTTTACCGTAATAAAAGAATTACGAGTGTGAAAAAGTGAAAAAATTGTTATTCGCTTATGTTGCAGAGTTGAAGGTAATAGTTATCAAACTTCACATATTTAGACCAGTAAGACTTGTACTTGGCGACAGCCAGATCCAACCAGGGCTTATAGTTTCCATTGTAATGGATGACAGCTGCATTTTCTATCCCAGTTTGGTTGAGTGCTGGGTCATACCCAAGTCCTAAAACATGCCATTTTCGATCCAGTGGATAAGTTAAGTTATAGAAAGTGATCAATCCTGGCGGCAATGTGCCAAGCTTCCAAAGAGTTCTGTCCTCATTCTGCAAAATAGTTTCTTCATCAGTGGCAATTTTCAGGACACTACTGAGAACAAAGATGTTTAGAAACTCATAATCTATAATAACCCAAATGCTTTTTAAATTATGCTAATATGATATGACAGACATGAGAAATAAAATTCTGCATTGAGGGAAAAGTATTTTTGCATCAGAAGGAAAACAGATAATTGAAAGAGAATTGAAACGTGAGAAAAGAACGAGTGAAGCATTACCATATCTTGCCAACGATGATATATTGCTGTGATGTTTCGCTTTCTCCACTCCTTCAAATCAAAAATATTCATCCCAAATGCCCAACCACAAGCATTTGGGTCAAAATTCTCTACGATTTTTGGATTGGTGAAGTTGAGATACTTATCAAATCTATGAAAGCTCTCCTTACAGGTCTCCACTGCACCATTCACCATTCCTTGCAGATCAACGTCCCAAAGAGGTGTCAAATCCTTCTGAACTACAATATCATCATCCAAAAATAGGATCTTGTTGAGTTTTGGGTACACTTCAGGAAGATAGAATCTAAGATGATTCAGCATCGATAAGTATTTTGGATTCCTGTATTTGAGATGGTCAGACCCAACAGAGAGAGAGGATGGGTGATTTGCCTTGAAATAATATTCTTTAATCCTGGCAGATTCAAGTTGACGTAAAACAGAACAGTAAGAAGAATTCAACCACTTGAAGTCATCAATGTTCTCAACCTGGACTGTTGCTTTTTCAGGAGCATTCAAGATAAACCACATTTTCATTGCAGCAAAATTCAGCTTATCAGTCACTATATGGAAAACATGTTTCTCAGGCTCATTTGCATGCAGCACTGTAGAATTGACGACCACAGATGTTGCCAGTACATTATCAGAAAAGATAGCATAGTGGTACAGAGAAGGATCTTCAAGCTTTTCTTTATTAAGATCCTTCATGTTCTGATATCCATGAATGAAGTAGTCTGCTGCTAGCTGCAGAGGTAGGCAATGCAGTGGTTTTGGGACAGTTTTTGCAGCTAGCTGAATCAAGAAGGCGCTTCTTTTCTTCATAGAACCTACATTATCTTCTGTTGAAAGAAGCATGGCTCGAAGCTTTCTTGCAACCGTGCGGCAATCATAGAGTTCATCCTTTACTATAGACAGCGCATGGCCCATTGCTTTTGCATGATCAAGTGAACTGGAAATAGAACAACATACTTTTCCATGAAAACCAAGAATACATGTACCTGATAACAAAACAGTGGACATAAAGTAGTGATACCTAGGATGAAGCTCAGCATCAGAATTAGCCTCTCCAATAACACGTAGATTTTCTCTGATATGTTTCAAAAGAGAATTGTAAAGAATACTTTGGTTCTTAGACTTGGCAATGTTTGCATAAGCTTTCGCCATAATAATCTGGTCGCGCATAAGTTTCAAGGTAGAATCAGAATTAGGATTTTCAAAATCTCTTCTCCATATACTGTATTTTCCCTTTACAACAGTGTCCATTTTTTTCAAGTTCTCAATTGCTGCTGTTGCTTCCATCTGTTTGTCAGCCCCTTTATCTTGGCGAACAAGTTCTGCAGTACGGAGATCCCTCCTTTTTTCCCGCAATACCTGAAGAGTACACATACTATCACAAATCTGAACCATGCAAGATGCATAAAGAAAAGACACAGTAGTGTCGGACAGTTTACCTGGCGCTTGAACTTCACGGGGCTCCATGATGCCCGCCAATGATTTTGAATTTCACCTTCTTGCAACCGATGATCATCTATAAAATGTTCAAAATTTTCTTCAAATCTTGTGCTAGGTTGGTATGAATCTTTCAGTTTAAGTACCTAGGAAATAATTACTCAACCGGTGATGTAAAGGACTTGAATAAGGAAAAAGTAGACAGATAAGGATTGATGACATAATTTTGTTTTTCCTGGCCACATAGCTCGCATAACTGCTGAAAATGTATAAGCTGACAGTAGGAGTTCATACATTTAATTTAGTTATACTGACTGTTATGAATTGGACCACCATGAATAGGCATTGGAATATTAAGTTTGAGTATAAGCCATGAATTACTAGAAAACAGTTTTACATAATCAAATGGAAGTACCTGTGAGCCCTTTAGTTTGTCGAGATCTCCATTAATAGGGTTTTCCAGAACCCATGAAGCAGACAGGTCCTTCATTTTCACCCTACTTGTTCTAATAGTGCCAGAAGCATCACTGTAAGTTGCAATTATGTCAATATCCTGTATGAAACAAATTTATATGAGCATCATTCATATTAGTAGTTTAGACAAAAAAAAAAAAAACTGCACTCATTACCTTCTCATTGTCATTGAACATTAGAGCTGCAGAGGACGCATCCTGTGCCAGCTCAGTCGACATTCGGACCAATGGTTAGTTTGTGCAACATATTAAAGAAAAAGGTTTGTGCTATAAGAAACCGTGAATGCAGGCAGAGATATCACACACCATGATTAGTTATGAAACACTTCAAAATTTCGATAAATCAAACTACAACATGATTCAAATCTATAAATATGAAGGAACCTTTCTGTTATACAGTGGTTGAGATGCCTTGAGTCCCCTTCCACTGAAAGACATAACATTAAACGGATAATTAAGATCAATTAAAATTAGGATAAAAATCTATAATTTTTTTTTTAATTCTTAGAAATGATCTTACATTGTTTTATTATCTGATACTTCAGCATCAACAATAATAATACTGAAAATAACCTGAAAATAAATGAAAGGCATTACCGGCGTCAATTTACATACTTAAAAATAATAATTAACTAATAAATGGCATAGAAAAAGAACAAAATAAACAAATAATTATCTAATAATTTATCATAATGTTGCGGTTAATATGGATATTAACTCAATGAAATAATTACATAAAGATCCAAAATATCTACAGTCGATCCACTAAAAACCCTAAAAAAAAATAATAATTGGCTAATTTAAATCCAAATTAATCAGATTGAAAAAAGAAATGAGATTTGAAAGAGCGAGAGATATCAGAATGCATACAAGCATGAAACAGGTGAGTAACAGGGAATCGAAGATCCAAAAAGTCCTCGAAGCTGCTTCCATCGAGAGAGAGGTTAGATTTTGGATTTTGCTTAAAATCCAGTGCGAGTGTGACGAACGGGATTTAAATATGTTATAAATCGCGATCGCTTTTCTTCGTCGTTTTTTTTTTTTTTTTTTTTTATTGCCTTTGTCGACGACTCGTCGTCTTCTTGGACTACACGTTCTTTAAAACCGGGAATTTTGCTAAAGTGCGCCAGGGGAGTCCAGGGTAGGACGCTCACAAAACCAGTACTACAGTACACTGCTACTAAAATTATCAATTCTCCGACCGCTTTGACGCTTTTATATTTTATAAAAATTCTATTTTATAATGCAGGTGAAAGGGATTTTTAAAACCCGAATTAATATCATTTAAAAAAGTAGTTAGGTTCACAGCAATCCTATAAATCTCAGTCAAACATTTAAAATATGGTTTTGAAATTGACATTTGGTGCGCTCCGAATTTCTAGGTTTCGAAAAAAAAAAAACAAAAATAATTATTCACTCAAAATGGGATAAAATTAATTTGATGCAAGGTGTTTATTCGGTTAATTTAATCAATTTTAAATTAAATTATTTAAAATTAAGTTAATTAAATTATTTTACTTTTATTAGTTGCATTTAATTTATTAATTTTAAAATATTAATTGATTGGATTTAATTATGTTAATTCAATTAATTTTTTGATTAATTGAATAATAAAATATTTTTATGTTAAATTATAATATAATGTCTTAATTTTTTATATTTAAAATAAATTAAACAAAATCATCTAACAAAATATTTAAATATTAAAGTATTAAATTAAAATTTTAACGACTTATAAAATAAAATAATCTATTTTATATATTTTTAGTTTTATATTTAATTTTTTATATTTCAATTAACTCTATTTTCTAACTAATTTAATCAAAAATTAAAATAATTTTAAAATTATATTGATAAATTAAAATTAATTCAATAATCGATTGATTAATCAAATCAAATCAATTATATCAATTAATTCTATTAAAACCCAAATACAAACACCACTAATTTCATACTTATTTGAGGGATATTATTAGAATAAAAAGTAATACTTCTCTTTATAGAGAAAAAAATAATACTTATTTTGTCTTATTTTATTTTTTATTAAATAAATATAACTTTGACTTTTATTTTTAAAATAATATATTCAATTAAAATTTTAAAAAATATATTTTGAAAATTTTAAAACTCAAAATTTGTAAATATTATTTTAAAATATTTATAGTTTTTTTAATTTTATTGAAAGTAATGATCAAAATTAAATTAATTTGATCCAAAAGCCAATAAAAGATAATTATTATGAAACAGAAGTAAAAGATTCGAGAATAATATAATGCTAGGTGGATACCAGCTCGGCGTCGGAAGTCAAAATATTTTTGTTGTCATACGTGTTCATCGGTTTTTCTTTTTTTTTTTTTGTAAAATTTACATAAATAAAAAAGTGAAAAGGTCAAAAAAAAAACCAAATTAATTTGATATGTGAAAACTTAAATTGGCCTCCTGTTTTCAGAAAATATATCTAATAAAAAATAAAAATCTAAAACAAAAAGTCGTAAAAAGTAAAACAAAAAATAAAAATAAAAAAGCTCATTGAGGATTTTACATAAACATTTTTATTGAATTTAAAATATTAAATTTTGAAATTTAGATATCAAATACTAATTTTATTAATATAATACATATATAAATATAAAATTAAATTAATAATAAAATATATACTTTATATATATTAAAATGAATCGAGACGATATATACTAAACACACTTCAATTTCAATCTCGAATCTTATAAAAAAAAAATCTCAACTAGTTATAATTTGATATGATTTAAAAAAATTATCTCCTATCAAATCAAGATGAATTAAAGTTCATTGGATACAGATTATTTTTATATCTATACAAGTGGACACCTTTCATTATAAAATTTATCTAATTAAAAATAACAAAAAAATCAAATGAAATATTATTTTACAAAATTAATTTAATTAAACAGACATAAAAAAAAAGAAAAACTAAAAAACTAAAAAAAAAAAATGGAGCTCATTTGAGCGCTAGTAGATATCAAATTGAATTTAAAATATTAATTTTTTTAAATTAATGCATCAAATAATATTTTATTAATAAAAATTTTTAAAATATTAAAAAAATCACTGAGCTGTTATGTTGAAATTCAAATTGAACTTAAATTTTAATATAATAAATGAAAATATAAAATAATAATTTTATTAATATAATACATATATAAATATAAATTAAATAAATAATAAAACATATATTTTTATATATGTCACAGGTGATTTAGAGCAAAGCACTGTAAATGAGCTTTTAATTCATTTTTGCTTTCTATAAAAAAAATTGACTTCGATTGACTCGATACCCATTATATATATATATATATATATATATATATATATTAAATTGAGATGATTTAAGGTATTAATTGTTTATATTAAAATTTTTATTGTATATTGATTGTTTTGTCATTTTTATCTATTAATTGATTTGTTATATATAAAATTAATCTAATTAAAAAAATGAAAGAAAATAAACAAATAAGGGTTATGTAAATACATCTATTGATATTATTTTCTTACAATTTTTTTCTAATAACAAACAATAGAAAAAGGAAAAACTATAAAAAACCAAAAAAAAGAAAAAAAATTATATTAGATCGAGTGGAATTGAAACAATTAAATATGAATTGTTATGCGATCCCTATTTATTAGTTCAATTTGTTGCAAATTTTATATAATTTAAAAAAAAAAAAAGAAAACAACTAATATGTATAATACGTTGACATATCCATTTTTTTTAAAAGTTTTATTTAATTTAAAAATGACAAAAATAAAAACATAAATGAATGTAAAATAAAAATTAAAATAAGAAAATTTTATATAATAGATTGATGAAATAAATATAATATTTTATTAAATTAAATATTAAATAATAACTTTATTAATATAATATATATATATATATATACTCAAAGTAAAATGAAATATCTTAAACTTACATCAATCTGGTTTCGATTTGATAAAAACTTTAATCTAATCTTATTTTTAAAAAATTTATACATATTAGATAAAATCAAATAAAAATTTTTGCGATATAAGATATTTTATTATCTCTATATCTATAATTTTTTTTTACAAAATTTATTTAATTAAATAAATTTATTTTTTTTAATTAGGAAGTAGCAAAAAAAGAAAAGAAAATCATACCAGAATTACATGTAGATTTATAAAATTAAGGCATTAAGTAATAATTTTATTAATATATATCATATATATAATTAAATTAATAATAAAACATATATTTATATATAACCTGGAGGGATGAAACACTTTAAACCCTATATGAACTGATTCCGATCTTTAAGAAAGAAGCTTGATTCGGTTCCATATTTAAAATAAAACGCTATAATTGGATCCATAGAAATCAAAATTTATAGGATATGGTTTTTTCTTTTTTCCAATACCTCCACTGATATTGTTTTTCAAAAATATGTTTACGAATTTTTTGTTATAAAATTTATCTAATTAAAAAAAAAGAAATTTAATGCTACACATTTGTTATTTAAAAAAAAAGATTATTCAATTAAAAAAAAAAAGAAACAAACAACAAAAAGCCAAAAAAATAAAAATGAAAGAAAGTTAAATTGTCATGCTACGTCAACTGTGGTGATTTTATTAGAAGTTTTATATAATAAATTTTTTAAAAATCTAAAAAATTACGAAAAGAAAAAAATTCAATCAGGTCGTCAATATTTCGATGGATATTTATTTCTTAAAAATAATCAATGTAAAAAATAGAACAATAACAAAAAAATATATTTTTAATAATAATATCAAATAAGTCTCACACGTAAAAAAATAAAACATTTAAAATTATTGATTAAACAAAAAATAAAATAAAATATATATATATAAAAGATAAAAAAAATGAATCAAATAATTTCACCCGTAATATATTTTATATCAAGTGAGTCCAATAAAAAATAAAATTAAAAATTAGTTTATTAAATATAAAAAATAGATATAAAAAGAAAAAGTAAAACTAATAAAAAATACATATATTTAATAACAAGCGAGTCCAAAAAAAATTAAAATATAAAAATACTTATTAAATATTTTTAAATAAAGATAAAAAAAGAAAAAAAATGATATCAAGTGGACTTAAAAATTTTAAAATATTTATTAAATAAATAAAAAAACCAAGTGCTAATGTCATAGGCCATTACCCTCTCTCATAAAAATCGACTTATCAAGATGTATAGCACCAAAATTATTTTTATATCCTATTAACTTTTCTTTTATATCCGATGTGAGATTAAAATACCATGTCTATTATCTCTTAGAACTCTTGATGTGTTCGGACACCTTCATCACAGAGACTGATTACTTTACTTACCTCTCTCAAGATGCTTAATGTGGGTCAAATGATCTAAGACCTGTTCTGATATAACTTGTTACATGACTATTACTCTCTCTCTTCAAAATTGATTTATTAGGATATGCAACGTTAATATTTTTATACCCCTATAATCCTTTTTTCATATTCGATATAAAATTAAAATATCTTGCTTACTCTTCCGTTAAAGTACTTGACGTGACATTTATTATACCTATTTTTTTTTGAAATGTTTGACGTGACATTAACACATGACATTCTTTCAAAATATATAAAAATTAAAAAAATACTCAAAAAATTAAAAACAAAAAACAAAAATACCCAAGCGACCACTTGTGTTCCCTTTTGTCTAAAGCATTTATATATAAAATGTTAAATAATTTGCAAAAGATATAAAAATATATTTATTTTAAAATTTAAATTAGTTATATATTTTATTTTTATTTCGAATTTTAGATAATTTAGCATAAGTCATTATAATCACACATTAAAAGAAAGATTGGTAATTTTTTTTCGTGAATTGATTGTAAAAGGAACATTGATATGCATTTATAAATGATTTACATTTAAATATTTTACGTTTTATGTCTTTTTTTTTTTTGTCTTTTTTTTAGGCTGTCTCAAAATTATTTTTTTTTTCTTTTTAAACATTTAAAATTCTTACTTTTTTGTATTTTAAATTTATTTTTTATATATTTTTTACTTTTTAACATTAAAAATAATGAAAATTAATTTTATAAAAATATTTAATTTTAATATTAAATACATTAAAATCAAAAATTTTTCTTAAACTCCGTAAAAATTAATACAATCCAAATATTTTGGGATGAAAGGAGTATCCAAAAATATGTACATCTACTACTAGTTCGTAGGAGTCCCATTAGAATAATTTATGACGTATTAAGAGAAAAATAATTAGTACAAATTATTATTAGTATAAAATTAGATTTAGTCATTGGTGCATTTATATCAACTATTCATTTTTTAATATGTGTAAAATATAAAAATTATCATGTTATAATTAATTTTAAATATAAAGTACAAAACACATTTTTGAATTTTTGTTAAATTGATGTATGATTTTTGTTAAAATTTTAAATCATGTTTCTTTCATATTATTATCGTATCATATCATTGTCTCTTGTTTAAAATTATTTAATAATAATCATTAATATTATTTTTCTAATTCATCTTATTGCAAGTTTATGCTTTAGATCAACCTCAAAAATAAAAGCTACTTTCACAAAGATGACACCTTCTATACAATCATAAAAATTAAAACATAGGCTTAACTCAAATAATTTTTCCATCTTTTTTAAGAGTTGGCTTCTAGCAAATCAGGATTTTAGCACTTGCAAATTTTCATTTCCTATTTCCTTAGACCTTGTTCCATGTACCAAAAAAAATTCATTATTAAAAAACCCATTTATTTAGATCATAAGCAAAATGGAGAGCTATAATTGCAATTTATTATTTGCATTTCAATAGGATTACATTATTCAGAAAACAAAGAGACAGCGAAGACGAAAATGAAAGAACATCAGGATTCAGAAATCTATATTCATGGTTGCTTCTTTTTCTTCTCCAACTAATAGTAGTTTCACTAGAAGTTCAAAATCGCCCAAACCAGATGCAAACAACTAATCTCAGGCCAAAGCCGAAAGAAAAAATCAAACAGCTATTTGCACTTTGCCACAGCAGGAAATTACTCAGCCGATTTTCACCCGAAGTACGAATTATAATGTCAGAATCAGGTGCAATGGCCATAGACATGTGCTCCTTAATGTTTGCTAACTCTACAACGTGGTTGCCCTTCCCCTGATTATGCCTGCTCTTCCCTTCTGGATTCGGTTCTTGAAGTTGAATCTGAGCCAGCTTTTCCTGACAAGTTTCTTGAATTGCATTAACCATTGGAGTTGTTGGCCGTAGCCACCATTAGTCTCTTGGCCGCGTCCTTAACAGGCTCGCTCAAGAGTTCCAGGTTCCCTGAGAATGAACTCTGATTCCATAGCGGCTGAATATGCTATCTCTCTGACTTAATTCTAGATCGATATTCTCCACCATCAGATCCATAATGTATTGAACTTCTTCAGGCCCACGCTTGAAATTATCAACGCTGAACGCGCAGGCTGTTATACATTTTATCCGCAGTTCACAGCAGTAAATGACCATGCAAAAGAAAGCCAAAAACCCAGCATTGTGCCCATCCCTCTCCTTCAGGTTTCGCTTCTTTCCATATCTTCTATTTCCATCCATTATGAAGGCAATGTGAGAAGGGTTTGCACCAACAGAAAGAAAAGAAAACAAGTATTTTCGCAGGAAATAGTTCAGTTTCTAGACGAACAGTCTAGCTGATCGACTTATTCCACCTTTCTCCATCTGCAGGGTCAATGCTTGATACATTCAGAACTGATATGACCCTGCTTGGATTTAACAAAAAGCAATCAATTTGTTCTAGTATTTGATAAAGAATGCGATTCTGCTGCAGTCAGACCCAGAATTGCAAAGTACTCGCCGTCAAGTTAGTTCATTTCCTCGTAGATACAAATTACTTGATTTTTTTTAGGCCCAATGCACTAATTTCTAAACAATTTCATGCCTATGAAGGCTAAGAAATTGCCCAAATTTGCATCTTACTCAAGCATGTCAGTAAAACTATATAATAAATGGTTGAACTTGTACTGTAAATTGCCAAGTTGTGCATTATAGCTTATAATTAATTGATTAGATTCCGTTAAAACCATTGGCCAAGGTAACTACCCTGTTAAGTGATCAAAATGTTGACCCCGCAAATATTTTGCTTAATTTACATTTAAACATGCCATTAGTATAAATCAAGGCTAAAATATTTTTAAAAAAATCTTTTAAAAATATTTAGCTTTTCTTAAATAGGTTTTTATACTTTTATTATATCCAAACAAGTTTTTATGTTTGATTTACATCTAACTAAATCATTATTTCAAACCAAATATGAATTTATATAAACAACTCATTTAAGCACAAACTAAATATTAAGAATTTATTTGGATATAAATTAAAAGTTAAAGATTTATTTGGGTTCAAATCAGAAATTATAAGTTTATCTAAATAAAATAAAAAAGTTTTCTTTTATTATTTTAACCTATAAAATAATTAATAATCCGGAATTTAGTTTCATTGATTCATGTATTCACTTGGTTAGCATTTAGTATACTTGAATTCAATTCCTAACGTAAACAACCATTCCCTATCCCTAGATAGTAGTTTCCTTCGTAACAAAAAATTAGTACTATATATAAATTCATATCTCTTATAGTACAGAGATATGTAAAATGCAATTCTCAGAGTGATTTACACGGTAATTTATACTTGAACTTCCATGGAACCTTGTTACTTAAAGTGATGTTTTAGAAAGTAAGATCAATGATGAATAATACCTTATGATTAAAGACAATTCACAATTGGCTGATCTGGAGAAATCCTAGAGAAACTTAAGACAAGCCCCATACCCGTGAGTATTACTGACACAATTTGTCCAGGATACCTGCTTCTGCTTTAAGTACGGAAAATCCACATTAAGGTCCTTTGGATCCAATCATAAAATGCAACCACACCACGCTGTCAAAAGGAACCTAAGCAAACTCACGTTGAAATAATCATTTTCCGGAGCAAAAGGGGCTTGTAATTATGTATTGCAGCCACAAACCAGGTGGCTCATCTTGCAATGGAAAAGAAAAAATGCCCTTTGTCTGGCTTGTATACTATTGACAGTGCATGATTTCTCTTTATTGCACTTGCATATAACAAGTTATTGCGGGACTGGGACAAACGTACTAATTCTAATACAAGCAAAGAACTAACTGACTAGAATAATAAAAACTATAATGTAATTTACTAGGAGAGGACAAAAGGTATGAACCAATTGCGAGGTCTAATGTGATTTAAAGGAATTCTCAGTTTCTTGCAGAAGATGTTATACTGAGAAGGTTAATATCTCAGCTACAAAGGTAACCAGCATCTCATGTTCCTTACATTTTTAAGCAATAAAACAGAAAAGATAAAATGTTTTCCAAGGTAGACAGGAGAGTCCATGGCTGCCTGCCTTTCCATCTATTGATACAAAAAGGAGTATAAAATTATCAGCTAGTTTATAGTCCCAATATTGTTTGAATTGGAAGTCGGATTTGTGAATAACAGCAAGAACTCCAAAAAGGGTACAAATAAAACAGCTTTCTACAGTCCTCTCGAATTCGATTCAGCAAAGCCTTTTATTCTACCTTATGTGTAATACCACTCTACTGAGACAAAGCCTAGAAAACTTTCTTTATCACTCAAATACTTGAAAAACAGCAAGCAATAATATAGTTCTCAATGACCAAAACACGAAAAATATAGGCAGGTCTGATCATTGGGATCCCATCACAATATTCAACTGTTATCTCTGCTGTTTGAGATTCATAAACCTACAGATTTGTGGCGTAAAACAGCACAATAGTGTAGATAAAACTATTCTATCAAGATATCAAACTGAAGTTGCTGTACTTACTGAAATAATCACAATTTAACTACAAACATAGTCATATGTCCAACATAAGTCACACTACAAAAATTAAACTCGTTGTAGATTCTTAAAAAATAAAAAAAAAACAAAATAAAGAAATGGGAATTGTCTGTGAAACAATTAACATGCTAATTTGAGATCTGCAACCAATTAGACCAATGTGCCGACTTACCTCAGTGGTGGTGGATTCTGATAGGCACGACCTGCTTCATGCTTTGGAGCAAGTGGAGATCGATGGTGCAATGGCTGCTGGCCATGTCTGCGAGTTGTGTGATGAGCAGAACGATTTCTAGGCTCTGTTGGCTTTTCATTGGTTGACTCAATCTTTTCCAAAGTCTCTACAACTTCTTTCATTGATGGACGATTCTTATGTTCAGGTTCAAGACATTTTAAAGCAAGCTGGGCTATTCGAAATGCAGCTTTGGAAGGATATTTTCCCTCCAATTGACGGTCCATTATCTTCTTCAATTTTCTTCTCTCAGATAAATGTGGCATTATCCAGTCTACCAACTTGTGTTGCCCACTTGGGCGGTTTGGATCAAGTGCTCGCAAGCCTGTTAATATTTCAACTAAAACAACACCAAAACCATACACGTCGCTCTTTACATATAAATGTCCTGTTTAATCAGTAAAGTATTCAAGTCATGAGAAGCGCAAAGTAAAATTTGTTCAATTGTCTCAAAAATGCAACAATATGGTGCAAAGCAAATAAAAGCACCCAAACTTTGGAAAGGTTTCAGAGGATTACCTGTAGCAACATATTCTGGAGCTGCATAACCATATGTACCCATGACCCTTGTTGTTACATGTGATTGGCTAGCTGAAGGACCCAATTTGGCCAACCCAAAATCTGATATCTTGGCAGTATAGGACTGCAATGGAACCAATAGCCAAACCATATTAAATTTATGTTTCCTCTGTATGCTTTCAAGGAGAATGTTCTATGTCATCAATTTTTTAAACCTTTATCCAAAAAGAAAAAGATGCTTTCCTGCTAGTATAAGTTTGTTGTCACTAAATATATTTAGTTATTTATAATACCATCCCTTGGGCTTTGCTTGGTAGGAAGGATGGAAAGAGATGAAGATGAAAAATTTGTTAATCTAATGGTTAAAATTCATAACCACTTTCCTACTTTGTAGCTTAACCATTAGATTATTAAGTTTTCCTTCCTCATCCCTTTCCATCCTTCCTACCAAGCAAAGCCTTAAAGAATTCCCTGTGGTATAATTCATGAGTTGTATGGAAAGTTACCCCATCAAGCAGTATATTCGAGGCTTTGAAATCTCTGTAAATTACTTTCTTGTCTGATGTGTGCAAGAAAGACAGGCCCTTCGCTGCTCCTATTGCAATTTTAAGCCGTATATTCCATTCAAGTGATTGAACGGTAGAACCCCCTGGATAACAAAAACCATGTAGAGTGTGATGCACAAAGTTAACTCACTAGAAATAGGATATTGAATGTGTGCACACATAAATATATATGCTCAAATTAGTAATCCAGATACAACTAATTTTTAAGCTCTTACTTCCAAATAGATGGTTTTCCAGGCTGCCCTTCTGCATAAACTCATAAACAAGAAGAAGCTCTTTATCCTCCCAACAGTATCCCAGCAGTCTTACAAGGTGAGGATGAGACAACCTTCCTAAGAAATTTACCTCTGACTGCACCAATAAATGAAGAAGCAAAAGCCTTAATAACCAGGAACTTTATACATTTTTATATTCAAAGAAAATCAGTAAAAGCAATCATGAAATGATTCCCAAAATGCAGGTGTGGATGTCTGCTGTGGATGTACATCACAGAGAGAGAGAGAGAGAGAGAGATTTCGAAGTTTTATAACAAGTAGAAGTCAAAAGCACTTATTCACAATGACATGGAACAGTATATTATGATGTTATGCGATATAATGTAGTTTGGAGCTACAAGTTTTCTTTCAGCGCTTTGATATGGCTACATTTCAAATCCAGAAAACATTCCTAATCGTGTATCTGATCATTCACACACAGATAAGAGGAATAAAATCTACAATGTAACTCTTACAGTCTAACCTTTTATAACACTAAAATAGATTTCTTTCAGTCTTCAAACACTGTTCCAAAAATAGCAATCTAAAGCATAATAATATGGCTTTGCCTTCAAGAATTATTCACATCTTAGCCCTCTTTTCTTTGGAAAAACGAGCTCTAAATTGTCAAGACTTCACTTGTTTCGCAATTAGCAGAATGCTTCAACTGCAATTTTTTTTCTGGTTCTCTTTAATCAGGTTACAATTGACTCTTTAGATAAGTAAAGGTTTACGTCAGGCATTTATGGTTGTGACAAGCTGATGTCTTACATGCATGAACATTTATGTTTAGAGAAAACCCATAGAAATAATTGAAGTAGAAACCTCAACTAACAATTTCTTAAAACAACATTTATGTTTCTCAATTGGTTAATTCTTGCTCAATATTAATGAAATCACCTGCCATTCCTCAAATCCTTGCAAGCTCTCAGAGTTAAGTTTTTTAACAGCAATGAGGGTTCCACTTCCACTCTTTCCTGGTGCCTTCTCATCAAGCCAACCTTTGAAGACTTTGCCAAAACCTCCCTCGCCAAGCACCATGTCAGGCCTAAAATTCTTAGTTGCAGACTTCAGTTCCGCAAAACTGAAGATCTTTAGATTGGGAGTGGGCAAGATCTGTCCATTTGGAAAAGCCTCATCCCCACTTGAAGCTGAGAACCCACTGTCTCGGGAGATGTTGCTGCCCCTAGAAGTTGCAGACGATGCTGTGTTGTTGGTTGTCTGAGATATCACTATTGCAATGACAGAATTGAAATTTGCTTAACAAATGTTGATTGTAAATGTGTCAACATAAGAAGTTCTGATACTAATAATACAGCAAATGAAATACAACAGTATTTAATGATAAAAAACACACAAACCATGCAAGAAATTCGACAGGATAACCATATTCCAAAAGTACACAAGTCAATGGTCAAAATACCACACAAAACCAGCATCAAGAACTGGGTTTTTGGTGCTGAATACAAAAAGAATATGGATTATTTCAAATAAAATTCAACTAATAATAAAAACAAAATTAAACCCACGTAACAAAAAACTAGAAAACAATCTTTGTTTATAAAAGAGGATTAATATGCTTTGAGGGGTACCTGAACTGAGATGACCAGTGGTGCTTGGTGTTGGATTACCAGCTGGAGAACCCCAGCAAGTTCCCATCTTGAAAAATCTCTTTTTCTTTTTTCCCTTCCCTTTGTCCACTTATTGGACCATAACCAGACACAGAAATCAGCAAAATATCTTTGCAAAAAACTGCTATATCCAAACAAAAAGTAAATGTCTTTCAATAAGTTTGGATCAAGCTATTCAACTCTCTTGCTTTGATCAACCAATTTTTTTCTCAATTCTTTGTCAATTAACTTGAACTCCCTGTCTCTGTTTCACTAACCGGGCAAAATCCCTGATTTTGGTTTTTGTAATTCAGCAACTAACCTTCACAATGAAAATAATAGTTAAAAAAATTGCTCGAAATGAAAATCAAAGTGCATGTGTTACGGATAACTGTACTACCAATTATTAAAAAAGATAAGACTCAGTCTTTGTATGTTTGGCAAAAGAATAATTAAGGGACCTTCGCGGGTAATAACGACTTGGGACATTAGCTTGAGTCAACTGCCGTGTCCCGGAAAATTGTCAGTCGAACAGAACAGAAAATAGAAAATCAATTCAAAACAAAAAAGGAAAAAAGGTTAAATACATTTAATTAATTATTTGTTTACAAAAGAAGCTGCTAATGATAAAAAATTATATATTCAGATTTGAAATTCAGATATTATTTTTTTTAAGATTGGTTGTTCAAATTAATTAAATTAAATTATGTATTTAATTGAATATTATTTTTAGAAAGATAATTATATAAATCGAATGCATTTAAATATGATTTTGTTACATTTTTAAAAATTAAAAAAGTTAAATAGTACAAAAATTACAAATGAGAATAATACGTAAATATATAAATTGATCTTTTATTTTCATAAAATATAATTTATAAAAAATAAATTTGAATTATATAAATGATTTTGAAATTATTTGTAAAATTTAATGTACATTTCTAAAGAATAAAATTTTATAAATATATAATGTTTAAGGTCAAAATTTTCACTATATAATATATTCAATAATGAAATTTACTATCAAGCTTCAATTTTATTGAAAAATGTTATTATATTTGAAATTTTGTTGATTTTTTAATTAAAAAAATGAAGAAATTAATTGCGGGGATGAATTTATGTTAATCTCGTTATCTTTTCAAAAACATAAAAAAAAAAATCAATAAAATTGAAATAGAATGACAAAGCTCAACATTAATCATGTCTTAGTTCCTTGGGAAAAAAAAAAATTCATGTCTGAATTCCAAATATATGCAGTAGTTTTTTTTTTTTTTTGCTTGATAATTCCTTAGCATAACATGACAAATCATGGTTTGGACCATATACAAGAAATCCAAGATTTGGAATCTAATTTAAGGGAGACAGCTTGTCAAAAGTCACTTTCACTTTGAATTTTAGTTATTTTCCTGTTTCCCTCGCCAGGTTCAACTGGGAATTGCTGGTCCAGCCCGGCCTGAACCACAAAGGAAATAGTCTGGCAGTTTCTTCTTCATTTCACATTTTTTCTTTTCATAAATTTAACTACAATTTCTTGGCCTCCTCTTGGCTTAATTTCGTTTTTTCTTTAAAAACTACAACTACCCATTTTTCTCTTACAAAAAAAAAAAAAATCTACCAATTATATTTTAATGACTACATCAATTATAATTTATTATATCATCAATACTCAGACATAATTTTAAAATAAACATTCCGTTATTCAATCGATCACATTATTATTCATAAAATATAAAAAAAATCAAATAAAACATACAATACTTTGACTTTGCACTTTTTTTTTTTAAAGAAATCGACTTTATACTTTATCTACTCTCTTTCTCTTTTTTTTTTTTTTTTTTCTCATACAATAATTGATATAAGTATTGAAATGCATTTTAAAATATTATCTTCAACAACTTACTATTAAAGCAGGAATTACATTAACATTATGATACCATCCATTTTTAATATTCTTTGTTGATGTCACATAGATTGGAATTTTCAAGCGATGAAATAAAAAAGAGTTGGCATTTGGATCTTGTAAAGTTGCATGACACTCTTTCTATTTGTTTTTTTTTCTTTCATTTCTATGGTAAACTTTCTATTACTTTTTTTTTCTCTATAGTAGCAAGAAAGTCAAGTTTATACCAATTCTATTCTTTTTATAAATATTATTTATCACTTTTTTTTTGTGTACAAAAGAAAACTTTTTTATATCACTTTTTTTGAGCTAAAATTTACAAAAATTTTAAAGGCTAAATAGTACCTTTTTTTTTTTTTTTCTAATTTTAAACGGATTAAAACCCTATAACAAGGGAAAAAAGAAAGAGATTAAGATCGAATCTCAATTTTTATATCTTTTTAAAGATTTTTTTGATTATTAAATCAGAAAGTTGAAGATGAATAGTACTTATTTTATTAACTTTGGTCACCCTTTCGTTTCTTGTAGTTTTTTTTTTTTTTTTTAACTTTCGTGTGTAATTAGAAAGTTTTCAACCTACAAGTTAAGTTTTTTAAAGAGATAATTACCTTGTAAAAAAATTCAAAAAAAAAAAAATCCTCTGTGTAAACTCCACAACAGTTTTTGCAAACAGCCAATTTTTTTGGTCAAATCTATAAAAATTCTTCTCAATCACGAATCACAAATTTCAAAAGAAAATATCCAAACCTATTTTCCACATTTTCACTGTTTTTGATTATTTGTTATTTTTTATTATTCTTTGATGTTAAAAATATATCACTTTATAAATCCTAACAGTGAAGTTTAAGAACTTTTTATATCATTTGTTTTGAACTAAAATTTCCAAAGAAAAAAAAAATACTTAAGGCTTCAAGTATTTGTTTTTAATTAAAATGTTTAAATAAAATAATAAAATGTCGAATACATTTATTATTTATTTGTTGGCTACTTATTTACTTTGATATATACTAGTATATATATATATATATATATATATATATATATTAAATCTCTTGTTATTATTCTCTCCACCATATTGCCATTCCTCAGGTTGTACGGACGTTGGTTTCATAGCGAATGTCATTTGACAAATACAGCCTGTTTCCCACTTTAGGAGAATTAATGCCGATTCTTGAACAAGTCCCCCATTAACAAGTTAAAGGCAAAGCTCATTTTCGTTCTTGCAATTCCTGGGACCGGTCTGGCTCAAATTTCAAGCCATGTTCTTATAGCCATAGTCTAAAAAGACATACCATAATCTTGTATCAGGGAAAACAGTTTTTGAAATTTGTCACTTCTAATTAAAACTCCATCTTTGGCCTAAAAATAGAATATGAGGATTTAAAAACAATTGTCAATGGCTAAACTAAATTTCATGAAATCCCACAAACCGAAAATCGTAAAAACAAAATTTGATTTTCCTACATGAAAGTTCCGATTTAGAGAGATCCCATATTCAAATTGTCTCAACATCACGTACAGAAATGCACAACTGCAATGTATTGAATAGCAAATCTACTTTATGAAACTTCATAACAAATTTAGATATGGAGTAAACATCTTCATCTAGAAAATGAATTTATGCCACATCATGGCTTCCGATGTTACAAATGAAACCTTTTTCCTTATGGACCTAAGAATTAGGATACACTGATCTGTAATAACCTATTCGTTTACAAATACAAGTTAGCTTCCACCACTCCTAGTCAACGGAGCTTGTTTGGTCACTTCACCAGGAGCATTAATTCGGAAACTCACCATTCTATGGTTAATGTAATTGAAAGAGGAAAAAATAATGGTATCAGTTATGCTCAAAGCTGCAGTGCTAAATCTGGCCGAGCTTATCAACTTGACTAGAACTAGGAGACCCAGGAGAGTGAAATCTGATGCTGAGGTCAGGTGTAACTGAACCCGGTTTCTGTTGCGGTGACAACTTTGAGTTGGGTTTTTGTTGTGATGACAACCTAGAGTCTGGTTTCTGGTGTGGTGATAATCCTTGCGACGATGTCACTGCATGAAGCCCTGATCTTGAGGCTGCCACAGTCTCACACCCTGAATTTGGTAATGGACAGCTGGAATTCTTTGTACATGAATTTTCTGAAAATCTAGGGTCATCAGAATTTGAGTTTGCAGTTGCTGGATAGACAAAATTAGTGGAAGTCCTTGAGGCAGAATCGAGCATCTGAGATGACTGGAAACTGAACCCAGAAGACCTGGCAGCCCCAAGTATTTTTTCCATCCGAGCAGGGAGGTTAAAACCATTAGCACCATTATATCCATTCATGCCAGGATGAATTACAGGACTTTGATGAATCTGTAAGGGAGGCCTCGGCCTGACTGCTCCTGCACTGCTATTTGTCATGTGAAAACCAGTTCCAGAAGATCCCTCACTGGCTTCTGTCTTTTCATTCCAGGGTTCAGATCTTTTAGCAGCCAAAAGGGATGAGGAGGTAGTACCAGATGGCAGTATAGGCTTACTTAAATGGCCACCTGAGATAGAGTGAACTGAAGGAACATGCTTCTCCGACAAAATATCTGCTTCAGGCTTGTCAGATTGTTTACCTTCTCTGGTTTCCAGGGCATAAGATACGCTAGCAGAACATGAAATTTGACGAACAGAGCAGGGCTCCAATGATGTCTGCTGGCCTGGAGGAAGTGAAAGTGAAGGCAGTCGCAGCAGTCTCTGTGCTGGAGCATCATTTTCCGTAACCCACCCAGGACCAAAATTTACTCCAGCTGGTAAACACCTTTCTATCTTTTTAGAAGCAATTTTCCAGGCAACAGGACCAAGGTTTGCACCAAATCGAGCTAGGCTTCGTGTGTAACCATGCTCTAAGTATACCCCCACCTGCTTCACATGAAGACAAAGCCATCAATCAAAGCACAGGCCAAACCTAGATTCTCCACACAGGCTGGTCCACCAGAAAGGATAGAGCAGCACATACTATGGGCCGTTAAGAACAGTGTACATACAATTTTCCCAATCCCCAGTGGGAAAATTCCAAGCTAAACAATTGATATAATTGGAAAGTGCTTCTCTTCTTTCATTATTACTGTTTAAGATTCCCTCGGAACCCAACAAACACACAAAAATGCACACATTTCCACCACCTAGGGAAGGAAATAAGTAACATATCAATATTACCATGTAATATCTAAAATTATATGTCCCAGACAGTTTTATTTCATCATTAGTGTTTCAAATTGAATCCACCACCCGTGGTTGTAGTTATGACTTATTGCAATAAGAGCTTCAGTATTCTCCTCAATAGAATTTAAAAGATCATCATACTTCTACAGGATACATACAGCTACTAGCTGCTTCTTCTCTCCATTAAAAGTTGTCAACACAGATGCCTCTCGTGCGGCAGCCAACGGGTGAAATAGCTTATAAGCATTACGTCTATTCTCATCCAGTACAAAATGTCTTTTTCCATGCTTCATCGCATAACCTTTTAACATAGAACCTGCAAGAAAAGACATTCTGCATTGCCTTCTCATAAAACAGGGGACGTCTAAGAAGGGTGTGCGAACTATAGGAAAAGCAACCTAAAAAAGTTCTAGAGTGTTCAACCTGTACCTTCATTACTTCTGTCAGATTTGTTTTCGGTAATCCAGCCAGAATAAACATCATTGTGAAAACCATAAAATTTTCCAGATGAATCAGCAAAATTAGATTTGTCAGAAGCAAGAGGTCCTTTCCTCGTGTCATGATTGGACCATATGGCATTCTCAGCCCCAGTAGCAAGGGTGGCATCTGAGGAAAATTCTGATGCAGCGCGCTCCAAGGAATACCTGCCCAGCGGCTTCTTGAAATTTTTGCTTGGTGGTCTACCTCTCCTCATCACCTTTGGTTCTGCTTCATTATCATCATTATCTTGCCTTAGATTTTCAAAGTTCTTTCTGGCTAGTTCTTGTATGGATCGTGCCTGATAACAAATTAAAAAAATTTCAGACCAAATATAAAGTTGACCTCCAACATAAATTAGGAGTTAATACCTGACCATACCTGTCGAAAATATATGGTATCAGAAGCATTATACTGCATTGCATTTGAACATATGAGGAAAACATCTTTCTGCAAGATAACAAAAGGAAATATCACTTCACGTACGCCAAAGTTTTAGCTTCTTGTACAACCAAATCAAAGCACCAAGTGGGGTTGGCTTATTGACCGGATTACACCTTTAAAACTTTTGAATAATTTGAGATGAGAAGAGAATAACTCAAGTGCATCACCTCCTCATCCAGAATATAGAATAAGGTATCTTTTAATCTCAAATAGATGAAAATTGCAGTCTTAAATTTGCTTCAAGAGCAGTTTTATTTCTTTTCTTTTCTTTTTCTTTTTCTCAGCTGGGCGAGCTTCAAAGATAATCTCTAAACCTCAACAGAATCTTCACCACCAACAAATGGACACCAACAAGAAAACTAAATAAAAACATGTTCAGCCTTACATCTCTTTCCTTTTTCCCACTCAGCACATCACATCTATTCAGAGAGCAAAGAGGTAATATCAAATGTGGAGCACACAAGTTGAAGACCATGACTACTAACAACAACAGAACATATGCAAATTTCTTGCATTCATATAAGCACGTTTTGTTATCCACAAAAGGAGGTGGACATTGAAGCATATGCTGAAAATGCAAGGTTTGCTCTCCTGATAGTACCAAGTGATTCTTCAAAACGTTGCAATAACAGAGTTTAGTAGCCCTAATGTGAAGTTGGACCACTTTAAACCAGACTTTTAGACTCCTAAATGCAGATCCAATGCATACTGACATCATCAAAATACAGACATAGTAACTGAAATCACATATGGCAATGAAAATCTTATGGCAAGCTAAAATGCATATATCACCTGAAAAGGATTCACAATCAATGAAGGCAATCGAACAAAAAAACCCCACGAGGCACAGAGACAAAGATACATGTTGGCAGAATAGGAAAATGGAGCTAACACTATGCTTCTTCAAACCACACAAATATCCTAGATATAAGCAGGATTCATATTAGTCTGTAAAATGGCCTAATGTTATGCTAATTGTTTCATCAATTTTGGAACCAATGAATCCAGCAGGATACAAAGCCATGATTCAAGACCAACATAGCACTTTGGCTAGGGGCTTGAATCCTTGGTCCTAGAGATCACAGCCAATCCACATGCACATCCATGGAAGAATCCAAGTAGCATGCATGTTGGCTGTGTGCTTATTATATCAAATCATAAAGTAACAATAAAAGCCATTTAATGAGCTAAGGAACTCATTTTGCAGTGTTTCAATTATAGGTGAGATCAACATCCATCACCTTGCAACTAAAAAGATCTCAAGTTTTAGGAATAACTACTATTACGGAATCATGAAACAAAAAGAAAGTGGAACAGAGAGACAAATGTAACACCATCCTTTCTAACTGCCTTGTCTACCAAGTCCAAACTTAAAAAAGCCAGTGCAGAATTACCTCAAGGTGATATTGGCAGAACTAAACAAAAAATTGAGAATCCAGCTAAGCAAAAGAGAACATAATCAGTCAAATGCTAAAATAATCGAAAATGATAGAAGAAAGGGGGCAAAAGATAAAATGACAAACACATAAACCAACCTCAAACTGTTCTAAGTTGGCGTAAGTACTGCTAGCAAGTTTTTTCCTAATAGTTCCGAAATCCATTGGATCCTCAATAACTTCATGGTAGTCTGGTAGCTGCATAAAAACATAAATCACATAAGAAAAAAGGTTTAATAAGAAACAACAACGATACATTGAAGTAAATGTTCCATCATTTGCAGATCATACCTCTTTAGGGTCCACTGGCTCAGAAAACACGCCATAACCATCCTTCCTGAAATTATTTAATTTCAAAGGAAGTAGAACTGAGAGAACTGATGATCAAAAAGCTACATGTAAGGAATCAAACTAAAAATTATGGGAGCTTATTGAAATACTTCTGAAGCCTGTCTAAGATGAATAGTAACAGCTTTTTGTCTGGTAAAGCCGTTGAGGGTCCCGAGGCCAACTGAACACCTACACATATTTACAATAGTTAATAATCAATAAATAACTTAAATTCCCTAAAAAAAACTGCTTTTGAAGCAAATGGGTATTGGATCATAAGCAACCTTGGCTGATGCTTGTGGGGTTTGCACCAGAAACGGACTTCTCTTCCTGAAAATAAATTAAAAAAATGAAAAAATAGTAATAAATGAACAAGCAACAGGCTTTATCTCCTTAAGTGGGCGAGGAACCACCAATCAAAGTAGCTGTGACAAAACAAAGCAGCATAGCATTCAAAGTCCCAAAAAAAGGCCAAATACAGTTACAATAACTGTGAAAAGAAATACAATAACTAAAAAAGAAAGGACAAAATTAAACTTTTTATCAACTATCACAGTCAAAATCATTATTATTATTTTTTCTCTCTGAGCGAGTAACTAAAGATCCCAACCAACAAAATAAATAAATTCAAAAACTTTTTTTTTTGTAAAAAACAAAAATAAAGAAAATGGGAATCACCAACTTTTCAGAACAGAAATTCCCAAAAACTGGGAATAACTCAAGACCCCCATATTTACTAAAATTCTTAGCAAAATCCCACCAACTCTCCGGCTCGAAATTCTAGGAATCTTCAATTCCGTCAAAAGGAAAAAAAACGGCGCTTTTTTTTTTTTTTTTCCAAAAAACCCATTAAAACACCAAAAACAAAGACGCAAAAAAAAAAAAAAAAACCCTCTAAAGGCTGAAACTTTATTTCTTATTTTTTCTAAAAACCTCAAATATTGCAAACCTTTTTGGAATCTGCAATTTCAGATCCATGCCCCATCGAATTGATTTTCCTCTTCTTGTAACTCGAACGCACGTTACTCTCCTCGAGATTAAAATCAGGGCCGCGGGATTCTGAATTAACCGGTGATTTTTGCTGCGAGGAAAGCAACTTGAGAACCCGCTTCAACTTCTTCTCGCGTCGCTCTTTCCCGGCCAGTTCCTCTTCTTCTTCCTCGTTGTCGTCTTCCTCATTGTTATTCTTCAGCGAATAATTGGGATTCCGGCGTGTGGATCGACGGAGAGGAGTAGCAGTGGTAGAGTCGTAATTAGGAGTAATTTGGGGGGCAGAAACATTTCTCTTGCTGTTTTGTTGATTTCGATTTTGCTGTTGCTGTTGCTCTTGTTCTTTAAGGTTGCGTTTATGGAGATCTAGAAGAGACGGTCTTCCTTTCTTCTTCCTCTTCTTCTCCACTATCTTACCCATATTTTTTTAGGACGTTTTTCCCCTCTGTCTCTCTCCGGTTCTTCCCCTTTTCCCTACACAAAAACAAACATGGTCTTTATTTTTTAATTTATTTTTTGACAAAATAATTGTGCATTAGTTTTAGGCCGTTGGCAAGTGATGTCACGCGAGGAAGAATAGATGACACGTGTCCATAAAAGACAGAGGGAGATGGCTTGCGTGGAACTCAACAACAACAACAAACGAAAGTGGATTTGATTTTTTTGATGGGGAAAAAAACTGTATAATGACGTGTCTGGACTGCGGGTTCAGAAGAAAGTAAAAAAAGAAAGGATAGGCCAACAAGTGCTGACATGGAGGATCAAAGTGGGTGGTTCTGTCAATTGCTAGTTCGCCGCCAATTGCATGAAATTTTGGGGGCCTAAAAAGAAAAACCCCAAAATCATCAAAATCTGGTGGGTTCACATTTTCTAGGGGAAATTTCAACTTTGAAAGATCATGTGCATAGCGGTGTTTATGTGGGAAACCAACCCACTTTATCCTTTCCTTTTATTTCTCAACAGAGACGAGTATCACAGCAGGTAAATTACCTTCTTTCGCTGCCTTCTTTTTCTTTAGGTTTTTTGGTCCTAAGAAATTTTGGGTCTTATTTTTTGGGTGTTTTAAGGCTGACAGAGCCATTAGGTTGGTGGGAGGGTGGGGACATTCTGGGAGGAAGAGATGGGCAAGCTGGTGGGACATGGTTGGCTTCTTCGAGAGATGGAAGGGTGGCTTTTATCACCAATGTTAGGGAGCTCCAATCAATTCCTGAAGCTAAGAGTAGAGGACACCTCCCTGTTCGTTTCTTGCAGGTAAAAGTATTTTTCTTATTGATTCAATTTCTACACGTTTCTTTTCATATTTCCATGATTGATTTTTGACAACCCTTTTTTGTTTTCTTGTGTGTATTTGATCAATTTTGTGCCCTTTTCAGCATTTGGTTGTGGCCGTGGTTTTGTTTTGCCTTTTTGTTTTTGCTTGTTCATGTTTTGAACAATCAGTTATTGGATTTTGTGGGGACAATTGTAGATTGATAGCCTCACAAAATTGATCGTTTGAACGAGTACATTCTAGTATTTCTCCATTGGACCTATTCCTTTAGGTGGTGATGAATTCTATTAAGAAATCCTCAGTTCATTTTGGGTTTTCATAATTTCAGAGTAAGAAGAAGCCCATTGAATTTGCTGAAGAAGTGGTGAATGAGGCAGATCAGTATAATGGGTTCAACCTGATAGTGATTGATATTTGTTCAAAATCCATGATTTATGTAACAAACAGACCAAAAGAAAATGGAAACTTTATCACAGAGGTTTCCCCTGGGATTCATGTGCTATCAAACGCAAGCCTAGATTCACCTTGGCTCAAGGTAAGGAGGTATTTTAATACTTTTTTTATTACATAATTGAACCATCTCTGTTAACAAATATTTTAGTTTCTATTTCTTACCTGCCAATACTTGATCTCTTGTTGACATTACATAATAAATACGCATCCGAATTGCACATGTAGTGGATATGCTTGAAGTCTAATAAAATGCCTTATCTTTGCCTTTTCTTGTTTGCAAAGTGGCCACATGTTGAGCTCTCAATGTATCACTTCATCTTGTATTCTTTAATGCTGGTTGACAAGGTTAATTATTCTGAAGTTATTGATTCTTCCTGCGCATTCACTTGACTTTATACAACTGCTGCTTAGTTTGTTTGATGTCTTGGTACTGTTATGTTTTCGGTTCCATGTTACAAAGGCCTCTCTCTTGGATATCAGCAATCTTGGTATTACTTATTCTCCTTTATCTTTTGCAGGCTCAACGATTGGATCGTAAGTTCAAGGAGGTCATGGATATTTACAATAAAGATGAACTCCCGCTTAAAGAGATGGTCGCAGAACTAATGATGGACACGACGAAAGACGATTTAAGCATGCTACCTCGCATATATCCACCTGAGATTGAATATCATTTAAGTGCCATATATATCGGTTTCATTCGTCCCCAGGTAATCTTGCACGTTCTTTCCTCAGAAAAGTCTGCAACCAAAGTCAGTCCTTGAGTGTTAATCTGCCTTGCAGGGGCGTTATGGCACCAGAAACCAGTCAGCTTTGTCCGTGAAATCAAATGGGAAAGTCTGCTTTTTTGAAAGGTATTTGGACATGGATATTTGGAAGGAGCAGACAATAACTTACCAATTTGAGATTACGAAATAGATCATTGGATTCAACTCACCAGCTACACTGATTTGAGGAGTTAAAGATATATGGAACTTACCAAATAAAACAAAGTTTGTATGAACTTGTGATAATAATTGCCTTCTCATTCTGTAAACTAACAAAGTCGACTACTTTCTATCTATAACCGTGGAGTGGTTTTATTCAATTATTTGGACTTGCACAATGGTCGAAACTCGAAAGCAATGCTCATTAATGAGAAACATCGGCATTTTCTACCATTCAATTCTCGTCTTGCATCAGGCATCAGACGGAACTCCAACATGGAAACAAAGTTTCAAGTCGTTTACTGACACTAGCAACTTACTTCTATTACAACAGGAAGTCCCCTTCATTACAGAACTAAACAAATAGCCATTACCAATGGGTGTTGGTTAAGTTGTTGAGCATCGAATATTTTAGACTAGGCTCAAATCTCACTATTAACAATTTTTTCGATGAACAATTTGTAAATTCAATATAACTCCTTTTAAAGGTCTACGGTTTACTCTGATTTTAGATTGATGAAGTCTTTTCACGCCTTAAACTTTTTCTGACAAAAAAAAAAAAGAAAAAAGAAAACAACCATTATTCTCAAATTTGATTAAGCAACATATATTGCATAATCTTGCTCAAGCTTATAACAACACAAACCACACTTGTTCAAGAGGCAAAAATGACCTAGGTGCAACTATTAATTTTCTTTTAAATTAAAAAAATTACTTGTTGGGGTTTAAAAGCCATTTTGGTCATCTTCTTTTATTAGAGACTGTTAGCAAATAGTCATGGGCATAATGGTTTTTTGGGCTAACATGACATGTCAGATCATCCTGTTATCACAGTGCCACGTCAGCTTGGCCTTGTCATCAATTTATCCAACAATCCCCCCTCCATGCTGACTTGTTATCCTTTGAGTGGATGGTCAATGTCTAGGTCAACTCGGTTTGTCAGGTCATCCTAACCTTGACCAAACCATGGGTAGTCTAAACTGTCCGAAATCCCTCACCTTCCATCTATAAATAGGATCATACAGATACTATCTAATCATCTTGCTTTCTTCAACTATTTTTCTATTTTTTGGTTTTTTTTTTTACCTTCATATTTGATTGAACTTTGACTAAAACATTAAAACGCAAATGTAAGGAACATTTCCTACCTTTGTTCTTAACCAACTTTTTTTTTTTTTTGTAATTTCAAGGTTTTACCCCTCAGCTCGTAGCTTGGCACAAACATTTGATGCCTCAGGTAGGGACACTTCTTATTAGATTGAGCTAAATATCATGCCACCAAGATGAAAGTCACCAAAAAAAGAGAACCAACCACTACAGCTGGGATTGAAATCCAACCTAGCCAACCCACAGACTAACCGTACAAGTAGTTCCCATAATGGAGCAGTTTCTAGCTCTAAACCAATAACTTTAGTCCCTTAGAAAAATGATCCAAAGCCTAACACCCCCATAAACTTCTAGGGTACTTAACTTGATCACTTTTAGAAGATTACCTATTGAAAAACAACTGAGTTGGGACAACACTGAGGTTTCCTCAGCCTCAAAAGAAGAGGAACAACTTATCACCCTAATCAGCCACTATGATACTAATGCTTCTACACAAGCTACCACTCAAAAGCTCAAACCAATCGCCCTTAAGCCTTAACTAAATATAGACCTCGAAACACATATGCATGTTATGGAGAAAGAGATAAAGGAAAAGTTATAGCATTCGAGGATGAGCTTAAACTTTTGGAGACCTCACTTTTTATCGAGGAAATCGACAGAACCATACCTTCAAAAGAATTCAAAATACTAACCTTAGACCTATGATGGTACTACTGGTCTTTTTGATCATTTAGAGCTTTATTGATCTAACATGATGATGCAAATGACAGATGAGGCTCTTATGTGTAAAGGGTTAGCTATGACACTTAAAAGGGTAGCTTAGTCCTGGTATTGTAGTTTGAAACCAAGGTTTATCACCATATTTAAAGAGCTCAGCAATTCTTTTTTATCTCAATTTATCAATAGTAGAAGAATGAAGAAAACTACACTAAGCTTAATGTCAATCCACCATGGTAGAAATGAGTCTCTAAAAGACTATGTTACGTGTTTTAACACAGAAGCCCTCTAAGTAAAAAATTTAGAGTAAATTGCTGTAGTTGTCACCTTGACCAATGGATTTAATGATAAAAAGTACCATTTAAAGCTTACATTTTTCCTAGAATCACCAAAGACATTAGTGATGTGCTATTTATCACAAGAAAATACACACGCTGAAGCTATAATGAAAAACTAAAGTGAGAAAAGCTCATTCCCTTTCCTCGATGGTCGAGGTAAAAGAGGCTTATTCTTCATTTTCGATAAAAAAAAAGAAAAAGAATCCTCTATCAAGAGAGAGATGATAGAGGTACTTTAAGATTAGGAGTCTGAGTAGAGAGGGAAACTACACTGCATTGAATACCTCTAGAAAGAAGATTTTGATCTACATAGAAAATAACCTTGAACTCAGATGGCTAAAGCCACTAAGGTAAAAAAATTGATGAGATCTAATAAAAAGACATATTTTTCATAGAGAAATTGACCATACTGAGAATTGCATCAACCTAAAGAATGAAATAGAGAGTTGGATTAACAAAGGCCATTTGGACAGATTTATGGACCGAGCAAAGCAGGGTCAAACAGGCCAAATTTTAAAAAGGGTAATCAGAGATAAGAGGTAGGAAGGAATTAAGAAAATAGGCAAGAAGAAAAATAAAGGAAGTGATCAGAGAAATACGCAGGAGGATGAAGGTCGATCTATAAATTAGCCTATTACGGGCATTATTAATGTTATAATTGGAGGTAATCTACTTCATCCAAAAGAAAGTATGACCAGGGAATGGTAATAGCCATAAGGTCTTCAACCAAGAAAGAAAAAGAATGAAAAGACAAGTGGATCTTTTTTAGCTAGAAAGATCTAAAAGGGACTCAATTCTTACATGATGATACAATAGTGGTCACTATTATGGCATATAATTATATGGTGAAAAGGATCTTATTTGATAGTGAGAGCTTGACTGATATGATATATTATGCCATAATTATAAAGATGTGCATAAGGAAATAAATTTTGAAGGCATTCACTACCACTTTGATCAATTTTGAAAATGAACAAGTACTAATAAAGAAAACTATTAAGCTGTTAATCACATTGGACACTGAGCCAAGAAGCATCACCCCGGTCATAAAATTTTTAGTAGTGGATATTCCCTCTACATTCAACATGATTCTAGGCTTACCTAGCCAGTCTGTTATGAGATTGATTGACTTAGTTCCTTATATGAAAATCAAGTTTCTAATGTAAAACAGAGTTAGATAAGTCATAAGAGACCAATCCATGGTTTGATAATGTTATGTCACAACGATAGAAAGTAGGATTAAGAAGTAAATTGATAGTTTGGCTAAAATCAAAGAACCAAAAAAATAGATGTGATTAAAGTAAAGGTTAGGAAAGTTGAAAAAACAAAGTAAGATATCCTTGGTAAGAAGCAACATGAAATCAAAAAGAAAAAAAAAGCAAACTCTTAAGTCGCTTTGAGCTCTTAAACTCTATAATTATACTTGCTACAAAATTTTTACAAAATTTTAAATGATTCTATAAAAGCCTAGCTCTTAAGTTGGCATACATACATGTCAACAAAACTGAGCTCTTAATTCAGTTAAAAAAATACAAATCTACATTTTATTCAACTTTTCTCTTTTACAACATACTATATAGCTAACAACAAATTAACTAACAGTCACATCAGGATTCACCTTTCGTATAGGGAATAGTCCCGACTAATTAAGCAAAAAAAAATCATTAATTAACAATCTGAGGTAAATGACAATCGAAAATAGCCTACAAAAAACCTCATCTCTATACTATTTTGAGAAAACAATCTAGAAAAATATGAAAAGACGTTTAACATTTTCAAGAGATATAGCATAAGGTTCAACTCGAACAAATATGCCTTTAAAGTCACAACAAAAAAATTCCTCTACTACATGATCAATAAAAAGGGAATAGAGGCAAATCCAAATAAAGTTTGAACTATCCTTGAGGTGAAAGCACTGACCTTAATAAAAATGTGCAAATGTTAACTAGGAGAGTTGCTACCTTGAACAGATTTATATCCAAATTGACAGATAGATACCTGTTATTCTTCAAAATCTTTAGAAATGTTTTAGATTTTATATGCACACCTCAGTGGCAGAAACTTTTGAAAAACTTACGGAGTTTCTTTTTTCTCCACCTATTTTATCTAAACCAAGATCTGACGAGGTGTATTATTTGTACATTGCTATAACCGACCAGGCTATAAACTCGGTGTTAGTAAAAAAAAAAGAGAAGGTAGAGACCAATATATTTTATGAACAAGATTTTGATAGGATTTGAAGTGAATCACTTCAAAATAGAGAATGTGGCTTATGCCATTATCATATCAGCCAAGAAGCTCATGCAATACTTTCAGGCTCACACAATCAATGTCTCAACTAACCAGCCACTTAGATAAATTTTACAAAAGCTAAAACTGTCAAGTAGGTTAATCAAATAGATAATAGAGCTTAGTGAATATAATTTGCATATACTCCACTGATTGGCTCTAAAATCACAAGTGCTACCAAATTTTGTTATGGAATACACCTTAGCCTAGACTGATGAATAGCCCAAAAAGGTTGATGAAATTAAAGAAAAAAGATGTGAAAGTTCTTTATCGATAGTTCGACTACTAATTAGAGAAGTGGGTCGGTCTAATCCTAATTAGCCCAAAAAATCTACAGTTTCAGTATGCTTTAAAGTTTAGGTTTAAAGTTTCAAAAATAAAGCTGAATATAAAGCATTAATTATCGGTCTGAAATTAGATGTAGAGTTAAATGTGAAAATATATTGTTATAGTGAGTCCCAACTGGTTTTTGATCAAATAAATAGAGATTTCAAAGTTAATAAAAATGAATAAAGAAGTATTTAGACAAGGCATTCACACATCTATGTACATTATCCAAAGTTAAGGTTAGAAAAATACTAAGATCATAAAATACATGATCGATTCATTATCTAAGTTAGTATCAAGAATAACAATTGGGTGCTTAGTTTGTGTTTTAATGAAGAGCTGATAGAGAAAACCATTAAAGA